GGGGGGGGGGGGGTGCATGCCGAAATTCCAGTGTTGTTCGGGGAAATGACAGGTGGTGTGTTCCACGAAGCAACAACAAAAATACATGTCCATGGAAAGGATAAAGGAAAAATAAAGTGCAGGTGTAGTAACAATTCCTGTCCTGGATTTTCTTGCCAAAGTTGAACATGCGTACGTCTTGCGTGATATCTGCAGTCGCATGCTGTGCACCGCGTATGCGTCGGGACCCATTAGCGCACCTTGTGGCTCGACAATTTGCCAGGAGGACACAAGCACGCGGGTGTCCAAGATGCGGACTCAGTCCATCCGGCGCATGGAGGATCATCGGGACGCTGTGATTCAAGCGCTCGGGGCTTCTGGATCCGGGCCCGGCAGGAACTTCCAGGTACACATGCACGCATATGCGCAATGATGAATAGCGTTACTACCGTCCAGACACGGAGCGGTTTCTTGCGTTTTTTTGACCATTCTCGGGTTAAGTGGTTGGTTTGGCACTTTCCTCAGTCGACGCGTCGCATTTCTTCATCCTGTACCTGGCGTCTTGGAGGAGCTAGGGGAGTGCGCGATCTAAGTTAATAATTTTGTTTAATTACTCGCAGGTTTTTCGTGATGACGCATCGACTCTATTTTTGTCTTTTACCGGGCGAGCGGGTTGTATAAAGCGTGAAATCTGCCGAACAAGACCCAACGTCCTCTTTTTTTTTTTGGCAACAGGCCGCCTCCCCAGATATGGCCCCGGATGCTTCTGCCCGGGCGAGGCGGTCTCTGGACGCCGTGATTAACGAGGGGGGTAGGCCAAGCAGTGCGGGTGGGAGGCTGACGTCCATCTCGTCCATGCTAGAAGGCCTGAGCAGATCTCCGATGTCGACGCAGGTATGTATGTGTTGGTTGGAGATAACAGTAAAAAAACTTTTAGAGCAGCACGGTTGGCCGCACAGGCGCCATGGCGGTACGCTTACACCAGTGGGGTCCCCTGTATTGTGCGGGTGCCCGTTATAGAGTAGTGCGTGTGAAATTGGCTGGCGCAGATGGAGTAATCAAGATGGTTAATACGCCGGGTGTATGTGTGTGTATGTATCCCGGGTGTTTCAGGCCTCATGTTGCGGTTGTGCGCCCGGTGTAGCGGTCCGTAGTGTCACAAAATGTTATAGCCACTATCGAGGGCATCGCCGCTAAACCCGATTGGCAGTTACGTTGTATGATAGTTTCACTACCGAGGTGCAGCTGCTGTGCCACGAGATTTTGGGATCGCTATTCAGGGCATCCCGCCAAACAGGGAGGGAACTAACAGCTGAACCAGGGCCACGACTGCACGTGCATTTTTTTTTTGTGGCTGGTTTGCATTCGAATGGCTAGGGTTGACCTCGCTCTGTTTGGAAAGCGCGTTCGGCGACTTGGCACACGTACTCCCGATTAGTGGTCGTCGCACAGCAGATTGTACGGCGTGTGTGTTCGTCCCATCAATTGTGGCACCAGTCTTGTCACCTTTGGGTGTACCTTTTGACGCGTTTCTGCCGGGGTCATGCAGGACGGTTTTTAGCCTCACATTTCCTTGTGCGAAACCGGTAGAGCTTGCAAGTCTCACAGAAACAAAGCGCACAATACTGCCAACGGTGTGTGCGCATCTCCCTTGGAAATGCACAACCATTCTCGGCCCGTGCCTGGTTTTTTGTTCCCCGCCATCTCCGCCGCCGTCCCCCTCCTACACCAGCTGTCCACCACCGGGTCCAACCGACGAGGCCGAAGCGCCGGATCATCTCCCATACTCCCCGCCATGATGAATGCGTTTTCGGAGAGCAGCGCCCTGCCCGGCGGAGGCGGTCGTGGCGAGGGCGTTGTCGTGAGGTACCGCTCCTCCGGCGACCTGAGTCTCATGGGGCGGGAGGGCAGCGGCGGCGGCCGCGGCGGCACCGCGGGGGCGAAGGCCGGGTTCGCGTTCAGCCACGACGAGGCGGCCTCGCACAGGCAGATCGAGATGATCATGCGGAAGCGGTGAGCGTCGTTGTATCCTGGCTTGGTGTTGGTGTTGGTGTTTTGGCGAGGGCAGACGGAGACTTTCGGCCACGGCAAGCCACGCGTCGTTCGCCCCCCCCCCCCCCCCCCCCCCCC